TAATCAAAGTAAGATATTGGGAGTCTGCTTTAAGAAAAGCATTCTAACAGTAACATTAAAGGTGGTATTGGAACATCCTAAGACAAGTTTTGTAGTATGCTCAGGAGAAGTCTTATTAATGCTGTGAAAGTCACTACCACAGAGAGATGTGGATAGGCACATTTTTTTCACTCATCCAACAAATGGATTCTAGAAGCCAATACAGAGTGGATTGATTTCCAACTTATTCTGGACAATTTGTCAATTTTGAAAATATTTCCTACAGAGAAAGCTAACAAGCTAAGAGAGCAATTTCTGTTTACGTTCTGACACTTCTGGACAACTCGTACATTACTATTCAATGCACTGAGCATGACCTTCCGATACACGATCCTGTATCCAGAAAAGCAATATGACGTGATCAAGCCAAGCTGGCAGCTTCTGCATCTTCAAAATACATTTAAAGTATATTATTATTTGGAAGTTCATATTAATGACACCCAGCAGCATACTCTGGTGCATAAATCACTGGACTAGGAGCCCACAGATGTAGGTTCTATTCCTGGCTCACTGAGGTGCTCTATGACCTTGGATAAGTCACTTCACCTCTCTTTGCTTCTGTTTCCCCTCCCATCTCTTATTTAGTTAGACTGTAGGAGCTTCAGGGCAGGGACTGTATTTTATTATGCACTTGCACAGTGCTTAGCAGGATGGGACACTGATACTAGTTAGGGTCTACAGGCACTATCCTAATACAAATAAAGTTAGCTCATTTACCAACTTCCATCTGAGGACCTCAGAAGGGCACTATAAAATGAAGAAAGTTTTAGGTATAGCACATTTTTTTTGCTTGAGACTATAAAAAGGACCTAAATCTCTTTTAAAATTCAGAACCACTAGTTTTCTAGGGGGAACTTTATCATCTCAGACTACATGACACCTTAATTAAAGCATCTTGTTAAAATTAAACGTTAAAATTAGTTTCATTATTGCTTTAACCCTGTGCTAGGTTTTAAAATTATATTTACTAGTGTTTATATAAGCTTAAAAGTGTCTAAACAGTTCTGCTAAACACACTATTTGATAATATTTTGATTAAGATATTATGATTGACTTCAGCATGTTACCTCTTTGAGGCTGGTATGTTAACTGCACTTTACTCACAATAGTATTAGACAAGGAAATTGAAATAATTCCTACTCTTCTCTCTGTTTTTAAACCAATTGTTATACAGCAGCAACAGCTTTGGGGCCACAATAAAGTTGTATACTTCATTACAAACCATTTGACTTATGTTTTAAATTTAACTAAATGTCATCAGTTTAAGAATGTGCTGAATTCCCCAATTGGCAGGTTAAAGGATGCACTCACAACACGTAAGCTTAAAAGAGTATTTCTTCCCCCACCTCCAACCCTGTGCAAGTATCTGCAGCAAAACTTTAAGTGTCACCATAGTATTCATTATGCTGGTGACATCACAGCCACAGAATCCTGCTGGTACCAACTAATATGGGGGCAAGTAAATGTCTCTCTCTCCCCAAATATGGTGTGATTTTGTGAAATTGTGTTTTAGGTTTTGTAATGTTTAATTGGAAAAACCCCAGTGCTAAAAACTAGACTCTGGAGACCAGCTGTATGCTCTAGTGGCCTGATCCTGCAAGGTGCTGTGAACTCTTCGTGAGCAATGAAGTTAACAAGCGCAGGCCCCAGATGGGTTCCGTAGCTGATAGAGTGTCATTCAGAGGAAGCTGGAGGTTCATGTAAGGGCTGGACATCACAGGATCCAGAAGGAGAAATTTTAAACTGCTGTACTAAATTCTCTTTTAACATGAGAATTGGGGACATATTGGCTTGTCTACAGACTGCTTGTAAATGCAGTTCTTTAGTACCTTTCCCTGGATTTACTCCTTTTTTTTTTATGCGAGTTGGAGGAGAAGGGGAGAAAATACTCATGTAAAAGTCTGATTTTTCAAGACCTAGACAGAGCCTGACAAGATGCATTAACTATAACCTGAAGGAGACAGCATGCCATAGCTAAAAAAAGAAACAGTAACTACACTTTCAGACTTGACAAGTCCTTGAAAGCTACTGATCCATGGAGCTAACTTGATTAAAAATAATAATAAAACAATCTGTTGAGATGAACAGCATAGAAGACATCAGTAAAAGCAATACAACAATGTAAAATCCTATCTAAGAAGCTAAATGAATGACCTATAAAGTAATTACGAGTAGACAACTGTACTGAAATGGTAATCACCAAGTCTTCCTAGACAACACACTGAAAATTCCTGGTCAAAGAAGCAGAGGGTAAATTTGTGTAGTCTATAGTTCAAAATAAAAGTGAACCCTACTACACTGTAACATACATTTCTGACACCAATTCATTATTATTATTTTAAGAGAACCCATGTGTAATGTTTCAGGTCTGGTACTGCCTAGCTGTCTATAATGTAAAATTACTTAGTGGCATGATCATTTATTTGTGGAGGGTTTCTGGTATATAACAAGATACAGACAAAGATAAATGAACTAATAAGTACATAATAAATTAAAATCCACTATCAAGTATTTAACCTTTGGTCATTTTTGTTGATTATAAGTCTATAAAGAAGGGCAAAATTTTGACAAATAACATGTAACTAAAACTGTAAAAATACAGATAGCTAGAACAGCTCTAAATAATTAGTGTTTGATTCATATGGAAAAAAAAAACAGTACCAGCTCTTTATCCACACTACCTCAAGAGGGAAATCCTTTATGCTGACATCTACAAAAGATTGGCAGTAATGAGGATCCATGTAAATCAAACTGTCATCTACAAGGACAAAACAGAAGACAAGTAATTCAAAAAACACCTTATTATTACACTGCTTACAATCCAATTTCTATGCAGAACAGCTAAAAAAAAAAAAAGCCAGCAAGTAACTGCTTGCCAGACTGATATTCATTGACTGAAGCATCGGTTTTTGCAGGACAGATTAACTTTTGCATAATCAAATATGCTTGTATAAGCAGAATTTTTATAAAGTGATGAGACTGTCATTTAATTTTTGGTGATAAAATTACTTTTACAAACACACAATTATATTCTAGAGTTTGCATATGAAAAATGCTTTGTGCTACTTCATCCTGACAGGAAGAACATATTGCTTGTCATTTGAGCATCAACTAGCACTACTTAAACTGGTAAAAAGTAAATATGTAAATAAGAACTGCCAGACAGTAGCAGCAAAGGCTTCTAAAGTTTGGTGAAACAGATAAATTATGCCTTGTTTATGCAACAAAGGAAATTAAATGTACATTTTACAGAATCCAATTACTATGCGGGGCAAATGACAAATGACTGGACTTTGGCAGATCTGATGAATTAATAAGGTACTCATTTTGCTATTTTAATCATTCTGCTTCCCACTGATCCTATATTAACTTTCCTGCTTTTAAAAGGAAAACACTAAAGAGACATCTCTTATTAAAACACTAACCTTGAAATCCTGCAAAGTAATATGACTGCTTAGGTTTCCCACCAATAACACCGACACAGTATTCAAGACTCAAAATTCCCTGCCAACAAAATATTAAATAATTCAGATTTAAAGGCTAACAGAAGAAGGTGATGAATTAAAGTAACTTGGTGTAACTTTATTCATTTAATTTTTCCCTGACCATCACATTTAGAGTGAGGTCAGTGTGAATGACCTATGGAAGTGCCCAGGGTTGCCAACTTTAGCAGCTCTATTGCAAGTCTCATGATTTGGTGTTCTTCTGAAAGCCCCAGTTCCTGGAGTCATGCAATTATACTAGAACCGCAATACCCAATTTTAAAATAGGTATGTAGCTCTTGTGGCTGTGGAGAAAAATCTAGGAAATGTAAACCTTTAGCACTCAAAGATCAAAAGACAAATAAGGCTGATATTTAAAAAAAACAACAATCATGATTTTTCAGTAAATATCATGATTTTCTGGGGCATTTTTTGAATGCTGTGGTTGGCATAACTGACCATGTGCTGGCAGACATTCAAGAAGGGATGACCTCAGTTGTTCTGAGATGTTCACAGTTTAAAGATAGGCAGGACACTTTAGAAAAGAATAAATGTAACATAACAAAAGTTGGAGTCACTGTAGGTTGCCTGGCATGAAGTTTTACATATTTTATAGTTTTATGTTCAGTGGCCCTTCACTGAGCCCCTCCATCCTGTTCATAGGTAAAAGCCCCACACCACAAGAAGTCTGCAGCTGCTTCCAAGAGCAGTTTCCCTAAAAGACAAGAGGAGGTAAGTAAGGCGCACTAGAGCTGCCTCTTGATTTCCAAACCCTCTCTGATCTAATCTGTGGCTATTTCGAAGAGAAACACCCCATGTTTACCTGAAAAGGGTAAACAGCAGCAGGTTGGGCAGAAGTACATGTGTCATTCCTCATTCAGGAACCTATAGCGCAATAGAGGGAGAAACATTTCCCCCCAGAATAGCAGACACCAGGGAATAGAAGAGAGTCTGGTAAGGACTTTGATGTCAACATGGGCCAATATGAGGAATTAGTCTCTCCTCCACCCCCAAAAGACTACCATTTGAGCTAAAATGGCAGTGGCTCTTATGCCCCAATTTCTAGGGCTATAGCCACTAAAAGTAAGACCATTACAAATCATCAATTACATTGTGAAGATTCTCTCTCTCAACAAGAAGTTTGGCCGTAAAAGACAATATTAACAAACAACAAAATTTCTACTTTTGCAGATCTATCACATTACTAACCCAAGATATTAACAACATGGAAACCAACTTCTGAGTGGTTTAAATAGGTAAGGAGGAAATACCACTTATTTCAAATATTAAAAAGGGATAATAAACATTACAACACATGCTTATGCATATAAGATAAAGAGGAGAAAACAGTTTAAGTCCGTGTCCACTCAACCTATTCCAGTGCAGCAAAATTGAAACAGGAGCTACTTAGGTAAAGCAAAGGTCTGATTTCCCTATGGTAATCAGTACTTTTCTTGTATAAAGGTATTATAAATCAAACAATCAACAACTATCATCAACAAATTGCCAAATCATTTGTAAACACTTCTTTACTTAATTCAGTTCTGAAGTTTGTGTTTTCATTTACCTAAATCTACACCAAAGATACTAAGTCACTTTCAATGAATTACAAAGACAGGATGATTGCATGCATGCAATTGAAGCCCCTTTTATCCTAGCCCAAGTGAGATATCTGCAAATGACAGCACGTTTTCCAGTAAAACAATGGTCACCATCAATACAGAAGCCCACATTAAAGAAGAGTGACCACACAAGATCAGAAACCCTTATGAAAATAGAGGCAAAAGTGGTGCTTGTGTTAGCCTACAAATAAAAGCATTATGATTCCACATTCAGAGATTTCAAAGCTCTTTTGCAGAAGTATTGTAATGGGAATAGGGTTCTTAGACCAGGTCTGCAACCATGGATATGTTTTACTGTGCCAGACCTAACTAGCAAAGAGCAAACCAACTGTCTAGACACACAAGGAAAGGAATCAAGACAGAACAGCTACTTCATACTTTAAATAAAAGTCTTCACAGTTCTGTCCTCCTTGGCTATAAAAGTTTTTCATAGTTCTCTCTGAAACTTTGTAATAAAATGGAATAGATAGTCAAGAGAAAGGAAAAATAGGTACGGTAACAAAAGTGCCCATCTCAGATTTTCTTAATGCTACTGAGCAGCTCCTTAAACTGTCCAATCATACAAATTTAGATGGGACTCAAAAGGATGATTCTGTGTGATTAACAATAGGATAGTAAAGACAAAGGAACAGAGTTAAGCAAGTTCTTCCCTTTAACCAGCAGAACTACCAACATGTGCTCAAGGGGAATGAGAATTATGGTCCAGTTTCTTAGAGACCATTTTTAAGTGTTCAGTTAAAAAAGCGGAGTATTTGTTGATGAGAAGTTAGACAAAAAAAAACCCTACACTAAACTGTTTCCTGGCTCTGTCCTGCAATTTGATACACTGGTGGGCTTTTCATTCTTAATCGTCACTCTCTTCTTCCACATACAGAGTCATCCGAACCTCCAGCTAATGAAATAATGGCCACAAAAACTGCCAATTGGGTCAAATGATTATAACCCTTCAATCTGAAAAAAAAGGTAGAAGGAATAAGCTGTGAAAGTTCAGCTGGTAGTCTTCAATATTCGCTATTTAAGGATAAAAAAACCAAACAAGAAAATAAGCAGCTTGGTTTATATTTTTTAAGTGTTGGCTAATATGAAAGTTCATTTAAGGCACCACAAATATAAATACCTTAAATATACTAAATTATTATTTTTAATTCGAGTCACTGCATTAGTGTCTTTTCAGGAAACTACTTTAGGAATGGAATATTTTTCACTGTTTTACCATAGGTCAGGGGTCGGCAATCTGCGGCTCTTTAATCTGACCCTGCAATAGCGCTCTGTAACGCAAGGTTTTTTTGTCTGGCGCAGCAGGGCTCAGGCAGGCTGCCTGCATGCTGTGGCCCCATGCTGATCCTGGAAGCGGCTGACTGATGGCACGTCCCTGTGCACCCCTAGCAGGGGGGAGGGAGGAGGAGAGGCAATTCTGCGCGCTGCTCGCGCCCCCAGCACCATCCTCACAGCTGCAGGGGCGGTGCTTGTGGGAGCGGGCAGCACACAAAGACATGCTGCCCCCCTTCCCCCAAGAGGTGCAGAGACTTGCCAGCAGCCAGACGCATCCGGGAACGGCGTGGGGCCAGGGCAGGAGGCAGCCTGTGTGAGCCCTGCTGCGCCGCTGGTCGCCTGTAGTAAGTGCCTCCCAGCCAGAGCCTGCACCCCGCATCCCCTCTTGCACCCTAACCCCCTGCTCCAGGTCAGAACCCCATCTTGCACCCAAACTCCCTTCCAAACCCTGTACTCCTTCCTGCACCCCAACTCCCTGCCCCAGCCCAGAGCCCCCTCCTGCAAACTCCCTCCCAGAGCCCTCACCCTCTCCTGCACGCCAATACTTTGCGTGTGATGCAGCTCTCGAAATATTTTGGTCAAAGACAAAAATAAAAAATGGCTTTTCTTCTTTGAAAGGTTGACAACCCCTGCCATAGGACATCATATGCTCTGCAATTATGTGAGATCTTGTAATATTGACATTTAAAATCTGTAAAGTCAAACTTTACAACTTACAACTGTAAAATCATCACCACGCATTTAATAGCTAGAAGATTACCACCATGAAAAATCTTTTCATATCTAGTACTACTGTTTGAAACAGACAATGAACTCTTATTTCATACCTTTACAAACTCCAAGTAGTCCATGTTGGTTCTCTCTCCACCAAGTCTTACAGGAACTAATATAATTACAGCTTTCATATCTGCTTTTTCAGAGCCCATAGAAGAGCACTGTCTATCAACAACATCCAAACTGTAAACTGAAAATAAGAATGAATATACTTGAGTATCATTAAGGTACACATGTAATTTTTTTGAAGTAAAAATATCCTGAATACCTTTTACAAAATGTTATGTGCCTACAAAATTACATTTAAGCACGATAAATCAAAACTGTACATTTCTGAAAAAATTACACTCTCCACGTTAAATTGTCTTCCGGAAAAAAACCTGTATTAATAGAAACTAATCACGTTTTCCTCACCTTGAGTGGCATTTTGTAGAAAGATACGTTACACTGTTGAGTTCAACAGTTTGGATACGTGGCATGTAGGAAAGCAGGTATTGAGAAGAGCAGAGAAACATTTCTTCTATTTGTTTTAAAATTAATGGATAGTTTAAAATTTGGTCCTAGAACTAACTTTCGTATTTAAAAAAAAACAAAAAAAACCCCAAAGCTTGTGACCAATAGAAACATTTACACATTTAAAAAAAAAGAAAAGCTTTTTTAAAACATTAATGTTCAAACAATATAGTATTAGATCCTGAGTTAAACAAAAATAAAATACCATTGTTTTAGTTCCTCCGCTCAGAGAAGTGTATAAAGACAAAAAACTACTTCCAATATTTAAATTAAGACATTAGATTTTTAAAATTCTCTCACTTTTAATACTCTAAGGCAGGAGTCGGCAACCTTCGGCACGTGGCCCATCAGGGTAATCTGCTGCCGGGCCACGAGACATTTTGTTTATGTTGACCGTCGGCAGGCACGGCCCCCCCACAGCTACCAGTGGCCGCAGTTCGCAGTTCCTGGACATTGGGAGCTGCGGGAAGCGGCAAGGGCCACAGGGATGTGCTGGCCGCCGCTTCCTGCAGCTCCCATTGTCCGGGAAGGGCGAACCGCAGCCACTGGGAGCTGCGGGGGGCCGTGACTGCGAACAGTCAACGTAAGTAAAATGTCTCGCGGCCCACCAGTGGATTACCCTGATGGGCCGCATGCCGAAGGTTGCCGACCCCTGCCCATAGGTGTTAATTGTAACATGGTAAAGAAATTTGTTTACAATATACAATTAAATTGAGTGTGTCCCTTTAAAACTAGCTTGATCATAGAAAGGAATGATATTCCTGTATTATCTCCCAAGATCAGGTACATTACACCCCTACCCCGATATAACGCTGTCCTCGGGAGCCAAAAAATCTTACCGAGTTATAGGTGAAACCGTGTTATATCGAACTTGCTTTCATCTGCCAGAGCGTGCACCCCACCCCGCGCCGGAGTGCTGCTTTACCGTGTTATATCCGAATTCATGTTATATCGGGTCGCGTTATAACGGGGTAGAGGTGTATATCATAAAAAGTAATAATTTTGGCAACTGAACACAGCTATAGAAGTAATATATTATGCTTTCATTTGAAAGCCTGGATTGTCATAGTCATTAGTGTAAAGTTTTATTACATCTTTAGTTTGTCTCATCACCCTCCATTTCTGCACATCCACCAGAACCCTAATCTACCCTGCCTGTAATAACAACCAAGTATTTAAAAGCATTTGTGTTCGTAAGATGTCTGATATGGTTAAAATAGGTAACCATAGTGTTTGGTTTATTGGACTGCTCACATCTTTGAATGAAAACTGATTAGATTTATTACTACTAGAAACTGGTGCATTAACTTTCCCATGGACACATTCCTGCAAGAAATGGGACCTTCTCATTGCAAAGAGAATGCAGCTTAATATTTAAGAAAATGCATAATAAATTAAATTACTGACCGTTTGGTTTTGGTTTTAAGAAAAATCTCTATCACTTTCTGCACTTCACCAAAAGGAAAAGGAAGACAGAGAAGGGAAATGTAAACCAATTTATTTATTTTAAAGGGTAGGCCTAGCAGAATAACCAACAGACTGCCTAGAATCAAATAAAAAGTCATTGGAGTGAAATTATACATGCCGGGCAGATTATATGGAAAAAAAGCATCCACAAGCTATTTTAAGTGCCATTATCCTAATCAGATGTCAAACAAGCAATTTACCAACCTTTCCATTTATTATGTTTGATTCATCAAGACAAAAGCCAAAGATGTAGTGCAGGAATCAATATCCACTCTGAGCTCATGATTCCAATTTTTAGGATTTCTAACATATTTATAGCATTTAGTTTTTCTTTTGAAATCGTAATATTGTTGAGCACTAATTGAAAAGCATAAGTGAAGCGCTTATAAAGTTGACTAAAACCTACAATAGCCACATCACTTACCTGTACAGTCCTGAGCAACGTAGACAGTTATCCCTTGTAACTCAGGGTCTCTTGCTTCTTCAACAGCTTTTCTAAGTACAAATAAAAGATTTGATAGAGTATTTCATTTCAAGAAATTAACAGTAAACTGAATTTAGATTCTTGATTTTTAGAGATATTAACTTGAATTTAAAATAAACGGATTTCAAAATATTCCAGTTTCTGATAGATCACCTTTTAAACAAGGATCCCTTACATAAAAATAAGTTGAAATTTATTTATTTTATTGTTTTTCTTTTTCAGCCACCCCTGTAGAATATTTATAAAAGCCTTTCCAGCAAAGCAGAAACTGAGAGGCTATTAAGAAGAAACAGTAAAAGTGACAATACACAGAATGAGATTAAATGCACAAAATTAACTAAACACAACCACCACCACCACCACCACCACCACCCCACATACTTTTGGTTATAGTAATCTTTTGACTTATTTGTAACTATAGAAAATACTAAATTTGCCAACAGAAATGGGATTTTCAAGTTGATAGGGTTCCTTTAACTAACCTTCAAAGTAGTATCGGCTCAGTATGAACTGTTTTTCAGCTCACACAACTAACCTAAGAAGACAAGCTAAAGATATATAGAATTAGCTTCAGACATCTATTAGAACAAAAACTAACATTTGAACAGCTCCAAGGTTTCACTGAAACTTTAAAAAAGATAACTGAAATACTAAACTAGCCTCAGAAGAATAAGAGTAATGAACCTAAAGACTAAAAAGAAAATATATGTCAATAGTCTGAATCATGATCATCAGTAAAGGACAAAATTTGTAAAGAAATTAAACTGTTGAAAATAAAAGATTAGCCTTTGACTTCTGATACGTGATTGTATTAAATGGTCACTATCCCTTTATTTCACAATATATTCTAAAGAATCATTTAATACAGACATTCTCAAGTTATGGGAGAGCTATACATTCTCACTACAGGAGAAGGGGAGTTCTAGGAAAGGAAAGCTTTGCAATGTTTGAATAATGGTAGGAATTATGTTGAAGGGAATGCATGATTTGATCATGTGGATCCTGAAGCCAAATATACTTTTGCAAATTAGAAAATGGATTAGTAGAAAATACTTGTTTTGAAATTTCACAAAAAAGTCAATTTCAGATATCGACCACATGAAGAAAATATTACAAATACCGGCAAATCCATAAATAACAAGCCACTTTGTTACCACAAACTCTGTAGTATTGTAATGAAGG